AAAAAAAAAAAAAAAAAAAAATGGAAAGTAAAAGGTTTGTTGGAGAAGAGACTAGTTCAGGAACATGTGGTAGCTCATGAAAAGGTCTACATCTGGAAGAGGGAAAAAAAAAAAAAAGAGATTATTCAATTGGTGAAGGACAAGGACAGTAAGTTGATCTTAGAGTTGGAAAGCATATTTCTTGATCCTGATTTTTCTTGCTTTTTTCCGTTTATAAATATTGACTGTCTGGTGTTGACTAGGCACAATGTATTGCTGGCGAAGGAGACTGCATTTTCTGTCTCGTGAAGTTTTTTGTCCTAATGATGAGGGGTTGCCAGAATAGCCAGAGATAGCCAGAATAGCCAAACTCCAAAAAACCATATTCATTTCTTATTTCCTAGCACCTAGCACAGCATATGGCCATAATAGTATTCTGTAAATGACTCTCCTGGCATCTAAAAGGTGACAAGACAAGAAAACATGATCACAACTCAGGTGAAAATGATCTGTCCAGAGCGAGAGCAGGCACAGTATAGGACAGAATTAATTATCAAATGATGTTTTGGTGATAGAAACAATTCAATGGCTAACTACATAAGCAAGATAATAAAAGTAAAACATAAGTCCAAATTTTGCTTATATATGTTATCAGTTATAAGCCTACACATGGGCTCGGTGCCTGTGGCTCAAGCGGCTAAGGCGCCAGCCATATACACCTAAGGTGGCGGGTTTGAATCCCCAGCCCGGGCCCACCAAACAACAATGACGGCTGCAACCAAAAAATAGCCGGGCGTGTGGTGGGTGCCTGTGGTCCCAGCTACTTGGGAGGCTGAGGCAGGAGACTCGCTTGAGCCCAGGAGTTGGAGGTTGCTGTGAGCTGTGATGCAACGGCACTCTACCCAGGGGGACAGCTTGAGGCTCTGTCTCAAAAAAAAAAAAAAGCCTACACATGGATCTATGGGGGGACATTACACTTTACATAGGGTGGAAGTCTCTCAGGTGGTTCTTTATGGAGATAATCCACGTACTGCTGTTCCATTTGTTACAGGTTAAATGAGTTGAAAGTACGACAACTGATGCGTGAGAGGGGAGATGGACCCTGGTATCAATATGAGACTATTGATAAGGAACTTATTGACCATGCTCCGAAAGCAACTCCTGACAACTAATCATTTATTTCTTCAAATACAAAGCATATACTCTGATGGAAAATATGTATATAGTCTATAGTTTTGCTCTCTGTGATGATTAAAAGAGCTTCTTCCATTACTGTTTCTCAGTGTGGTTCAGTAAGATTAAGGCTTTTGATTATAGGGTTTTGGCTTCCTCTTTTAAGCATTTTTAAAATGTAATAATAAAAACTGGAGAAAAGGAATTTATCTTGAAGTTGTGATAACTTTGAAAGATGAGCGTTTTATTTATCTGATGAATGGAGGTAATAGAAGAGAAGTCTAATGTGTTGACCACCAGTAAGTAGTTTATTTAAATGTCTGTCTTGTAGACATTTGGATTATTGAGGGGTGACTGAGGATTTTAAGTCACACAAGAAATAACTAAACCGGCCAGGCACGATGGCTGATGCCTGTAATCCTAGCCCTCTGGGAGACCAAGGTGGGTGGATCGCCTGAGCTCATAAGTTCGAGACCAGCCTGAGTTAGAATGAGACCTCATCTCTAAAAATAGCCAGGGGTTGTGGTGGG